AATCCATATTGAAGGCTGTAGCCCTTGACCTTCTGCAGCAAATTCTTTAGGTCCTCTTCAGTTTTGGCAAGCAAGGTTGTGTCATCTGCATAATGCAGGTTGTTGATAAGTCTTCCTCTAAACCTGATGTCACGTTCTTCCTCACAGAGCCCAGCCTCCCTGATGATCTCTTCCACTTACATATTGAAAAAGTATGTAGATAGGATGCATCCCTGGTGTACACCTTTCCTGATTTTGAACCATGTAGTGCTTCCTTGCTCTGTTCTAACGACTGCTTCTTGGTCTGAGTATAGGTTTCGCATAAGCACAATCAAGTGTTCTGGGATTCCTGTTCTTCTCAGAGTTAGCCACTTGTGTGTGTGTGTGTGTGTGTGTGTGTGTTCCACACAGAAACTCTTGCAGTAGGATCCAGTTATTAGCATTTTTTACAGTTCAAAGATAATTCCAAATATGAAGCCAACTTTGGGGAAACCCACTAAAATCTCAGTTCTTTTTCTTAAACTAGCCATATGAAGGGGGAAGTTACTAAACTGCAAAGAACTTTAAATTTCCTCAGAAAAATTAAATTGAAAGAACAGACATCTCTGGTCCCTTTCAAGGAACTCTGGTAGTACAGTGATTCAGCTCTCAAATGTTAATTGAAATACTGGTTTTTCCAAGCCAGTTATTGACTCTGTGGGAGAAAGATATGGTGATCTACTTCTTAAAGAATATAGCCAAGACAACTCTGAAGAAATAGTTATACTCTATCACATGGGGTTACCATGAATAGGTATTCACAAAATCCATTAGATGGTCCAGCCTCCCAAAAGATCTGTTCTACATATAGATTGAAAAGGTATGGAAGCTGGAGCTCTTGTGGCCTAGTAACAAGAAGCTGTGCTGCAATCCCGAAGGCATGCAGTTCAAATCCACCCGATGCTCCGCTGGAGAAGGAGAGGCAATAACTTCCTGTTCTAGTGAGATCCGATTCAACAGTACACAGCAACAACAACAAAAATGTGTGGAGATAGGATGCATCCCAGATGCATTCCTTTCCTGATCTTGAACCATGCAGTGTTTCCTTGCTTTGCTCTAAACAGTTGTTCCTGGCCCAAGTATAGGTTTTGCATGAGGACAATCAAATGTTCTGGGATTCCCATTCTTCTCTAGGTTAGCCACGATTTATTGTGTTCCACACGGTCAAATGTCTTTGCATAGTCAATGAGACACAGATAGACATTCTTCTGGCACTCGCTGCTTTCAGCTAAGATCCATCTGGTATTTGCCATAATGTTTCTCATGTGATGACCTCTTCTGGTAGTCTCTGTCAATGTACTGTTCCAGTCATTTCTGGATAATTTTCAGCAGGATTTCGCTTGCTTGTGATATTAGTGGTACTGTTCAATAATTTCCACACTCTGTTGGGTCAGCTGTTTTTGTAATGGGAATAACTATGGATCTCTTCCAGATTTCTTGGCACAACCTGGTGAACGGATCCAGAGCAGCATCTGCCTGTTAAAATGTGTCAGTCAGTATTCCATCTATTGCTAAAAACTTGTTCTTCACCAACTATTTTAGACCAGCTTAAACTTCCTCTTTCATCACCACTGCCTCTTGATCATATGCTGTTTCACAAAATTCTTCTTTCTTAGCCAATTCTTTTTGGTACAGTAACTTTATGTATTCCATCTTTTTTTAAAATTAATTTTAATTAAAGTTTATAGAGACTTAGGGTTTCCAGTCATTCATTGTTGCCGTTTTCTCCCTTCCTATCCCCTTCCCCCAAATTCACTCTTCTCTTTGAAAAGAAAGAGAAAAACTCTTTCATTATTATGCAATCCCTCCCCCCAAGTCCACTCCACTGTGCAGCCTTCATTTTGAACTCCTGTCATGTTTATAATACCCAATCATATATTAGTTTTAAAACGTCCTCTCCTTCATCTGTTTCAATGCAGTATACATCATTCCTCCTCTCCTTCTCGGTCTTCCCTCAACCCCAATGTCTGTCCCATTTTACAACAGTTGCCCTATGCCATATTTGTCCTTTTGTGCCAGAGATAGTTCACTTAGCATAATGTCCTCCAGAGTCATCCATTTTGCATAATATTTCATGAGTTCCTTGTTTTCAGTGCTGCATAGTATTCCATTGTGTGAACATACCAGAGCTTCTCTATTCATAAGATAAAGGTGAATAATCCAGTTGAAAAATGGGCACAAGATATGAACAGACACTTCACCGAAGAAGACATTCAGATGGCAAACAAGCACATGAAGAAATGTTCAAAATCCCTAGCTCTAAGAGAGGTGCAAATCAAAACAAATATGATATATCATCTCACGCCAGTAAGAATAACAAAATTTAACACAGCAGCAAACATCAAATGCTGGTGAGGTTGTGGAGAAACTGGAACCCTTATTTACTGTTGATGGGAGGGTAAAATGGTGCAACCACTATGGAAGTCTGTTTGGTGCAAATAGAAATGCCACTTGACCTAGCAACTCTACTATTTGGTCAATTTTGAATTGGTTCTGATTTGAAGGTATACAACAACAACAACAACAGTAACAGGTTGTCTCTGATTAGGTTTAAAGACAGACGGAAAGAGTTAATGGAAAATAAATTAAAGAATATGTAGTTTCTTCGTAAATTGAATATTATGAAAAGCATGTACGACTTATAGTAAACAATCCTGGTTTTGTGTATGTGTAAAAAGGATGGTTCCCCCCCATTTGTTTGCTTTTTTACCTTTATGCGAACTTCCTTTGCTTTTGGTGGGGCCACATCTACCTCTTCAATAGAAAATGGTGTTCCAGCCTTCCAGAGTATGGCTGCTTTGCACTTGATAACCTGGAAAATAAAACATGAGGACAGAAGGGGAAATTGCTTAGGCGTGAGCATTTGCTCTGGTGGCCTAGTGATAAGAAGTTGTGCTGTGGCAAGAAGCTGTACTGCAATCCCACAGGTACACGGTTCGAATCCACCAGATGCTCTGCTGGAGAAGGAGGGACAATTTCCTCCTGTACCAGTCAGATCTGATTTGACGGTACATGCACAAAAAATAATAATAATAATAAAAAAAGAAGTTGTGCCGCAATCCCAAAGGCAAATGGTTAAATCCACCAGCTGCTCCTCTTGACTGATGAAAGTGCCTCTGAAAACTTGGTGGAGGGTTAGCTATGGGTTGGATTTGATGCATCAGACACACAGCAACACAACAATCCTAATGATAAGGATATTATGGTGGTCTAGTAGTAAGAATTTGCCCTGCAATCCCACAGACATGCATTTGAATCCACCAGCTACTCTGTGAGAGAACGATTTACTGCCTCTGAAAATCCACTGGAGTGTCAGGTATGGTTTAGCTCTGACTCCATGACACAAAGCAACAGCAACAATTTTTAATGATTATTAACAGGTTTAAGCTAGTTCTTTTGTATTCTAGTAGAAAAACAATTGGATAAATACAGGCTGTATGTAACATCTTCAGCCTCAAACTAACTTTTCCTGTACTATCAACATTTATATTAAAATTAGTTTTGCAAATACCGACAACCAAGAGCATATATGTCATACTTCTGACGTAGAATAAATGAAGTTGTTTAATGGCAGATGTTTCAAGGTAAGAATAGATTAGTGGCATGGGAGATATTTGGAGCAGTTTTAGGATGAGAACTAAGGTATGGAACAAGGAATGGAGATCATTTAGTGCCTGAAAAATGATGGTGATGATTGAGAGATGTTGGAGACATTGTTGATGGCAACATTGTTCTTAGGCATTCTGATTTCAATCCATCACTGTTCTCACTCTAAAATCTCTTCCTGTGTGGTCTCACTTTTGTAAATTCAGCTACCAACTTTGGGTAGATGATTTTCAAAAGAATATTTTACACAAATAGACTCTTATGTATCTATCTGATATCCTACAGATATCTCAACATATAAAAAACTGAACACACACTTAACATTCTTTCTTTCTCCCATCCCTGCTATCTTTCCATCCCCCAGCAAAAAAAAATATCACAAAATCGTTCCATTTTCTGTATTTTGTACTTCAGTTTGTCACCTTGAAAGCTATCTACTTATTTAAGATGAAAATCTGAGATTTAGTTCTCCATTCTTTTCTCTCCTTTATCTCTTCTGATCTAGATTTTTCTGGAATCTGTACCTTCTTTTCCATTCTTGTAATCATTACTTTTCTCTTAGACTATTAAAAACTTACTTTCTTGCTGACTCTATCTCCTTACCTTCTGATACACCTCCTTTATCAGTGCTGGCAGAAATATCCCTGAAAAGATTATCCCCAACTTAAAAATATTATTACTATCAACTGCCCAAGAGACTCCACTGACGTGACAAAGCTCTCCATGATCTTATTAGTCTCTCCGACTTATTTCATACCACTGACTGCATCAGACTTTATTCTTCATCCACAAAATTATGCTGGAGATCATTTTATAAGATATTCTTCTAAATTTCTTCTCATACTGTTTCATCTACTTGCATATCCTGCTCTTCAGCTGGTGAATTCTTTTGTCTCCTTTATGTTTTCCCCATGGGCATCAATACTCTCTGGCAAGGCAAGCTGAGTTAAGATTCTTCTTTAGACTTATGTTCTCTATAACTACCCACGCAAATGACTATATCATCTATAATGATTCTTGCTGTTGCTGAGAAGATATACAACAAAACAGACGCCAATTCAACAAATTCTACATGTACAATTTACTGACCTTGAATGCATTATTTTAGTATGTAGCCTTCCTTACCTTCCTTTTTAAAATTGTTCTTATTTCAATGAATATAACTCACTACCACAAGTGCCTGTCTGATCTAATTTTGAATTCCTGTTGTCAATGATTCCATATAGATAGTTATTAAAAAAATACAGTGCTCAAGGCAGACCTTTTTTTTTAACTAATTAAGCGAAAATACAGTTATATTTTAAGAAGGTGTCAGAAGACATTTTTGTTTAAAGTTTAAAGATTCCCTCAAGCCAATAGTTTTAGGGATTCACCTAATCTGTACGGCTCCAGAAAGACTGGAGTCCAATGTTCTGTATCCTTCCCCTTTTTAAAATCAGGATTCTTTTATGAAATCTTTAACCAAAATATTTAGCCGTGATAACCTAACCTCATCTAGTTGTTTGGTCTCATGACAAGAGGGGCAGTTGTTCACCGAGGCAGTTAGCAACTCATTGCATGTTATCTTCCTATTCTTGACTCTCCTTCTGCTTCTGTTAGTCTATGTGAAAAGAGATCAGTTGTGCTCTGGGTGGCCACTTCTCTCACATACTATTTTTCTATTTTTTCAATATACTTTTGTTTTTCTGTGAAGTCCTTGAAGGAGGCAGTTAATTTTTCATCTTTGTCTTTGAAAAATACTACAGGGGCTCGGTAATTATTTATTTGAAGAATGAAAACAAAACCAAACCGAACTGGTGAAAGCAAGCAAGTGGAGTGGGTGTGAGAAAAGGGAAAGGAAGAGGTATAATACTGAGATTAAGATATTCTTTCACCCTAAGACCCCAGAGACTATCTAAACAATGAGACAGGGGTAAAGAGAAAAGCACCAAATAATGCTATACATACTTTTCCTGCAGTGCTCATGCTATCTTCCTCTTCTTTGCCACTGACGAAAGAGATTCCTGTCAGTATGGAAAGTCCAACTGTATGAAGTTTTCTGTTAGACAGCAAGACTTTGTCCTGAGCAAACACTTGTTGGTGGTGGGAGGTTCTCAACTTTTACCTGAAACGGATGTAGCTTAGTGAAAACATACAAAGGTCATATTGCTTAGTTTATATTTCTATTAGCATGTTATTCTTTTCTTCTTATTATCATTCAATAACTAGTTCTGTAATTCAGTAACAATGCAATCAGTACTAGCTGATCTAGTGAGTTTAGAAATTTGGGCTTTATAATGTCCAAGTATAACAGAATGTATAAATATATATATTTTTGCTATTTTTCAAATGCAGAGATGATAATCTTTGAGGGTTTTTTTTGTTTGTTTTTTCTAACATATGAGGACTAGGTGTTGCTAGATAGTTTTCTCTAGTAACACTGTCTTTGTATGCATATCTGGTTACTCAGTAGAAATAAAACACATTTGACTAATAAGCCTGACAAGTTGGATTTGGAGTTAGGAGAATCTTTAAATGAAGACTAAAAGAATCTTGATTAAGATCCTATAACCTTGAAGATGCATGGAAGCAAAGAAATATATTTTTTTAAAAACCCGTTATTATTAATTTCAATGAAAATGTACA